TCCCCCCCGCACGCCCCCTCACGCACCTGACCCGCCCCGCGCCCCCACAGGTCTCCGCACACCCGCCGCTCGTCAGCGTGTCCTTCACCAGCCCCCCGCTCGCCCCGCGCCCCCGCGACACCGCGACCAACATCCGCAGCACCCGCCAGTTCGTCGTCTCGATCATCAGCGAGCCCTTCGTCGAGGGCGCGAACGCGAGCGCCATCGACGCCCCCGCCGCCGTCGGCGAGTGGCCCCTCTCCGGGCTCACCCCCGCCCCGTCCGTGCACGTCCGCCCCCCGCGCGTGCGCGAGAGCGCGTTCAGCATGGAGTGCGAGGTGCGTGCGTCCCCCGCACCGCACCGCCGCGCGCGCTGACCCACCCGCCCCGCCCCCGCAGCTCTTCCAGGTCCTCGACATCGCGCACCCCGACACGGGCGTCACCACGACGACGATGGTCCTCGGGCTCGTCAAGTACATCCACGTCCGCAACGACGTCCTCACCCCCGCGCGCACCATCGACCCCACCCGCCTCCGCGCCGTCGCGCGCCTCGGCGACATCTCGTACGGCCGCATGGGCGACGTGTTCCGCATCGAGCGCCCCGAGTGGACGCAGGAGGCCGAGAAGGCTGTCGCGGGGCTCGGCAAGTCCGCATGAGGCCCGGATGCCGACTGCCCCGGATGGAGGCCTTGATGCACAGAAATAGAGGCACTGATGATAGGAAGATCGCTGTACACCTGTAAAGTAACGTGTACCAATTCGTGTACGAATTATTTCCCAGAAACGTTAGCACCTGGTCCGTTCCCCGGTGATACACTGGCCCAGGGTCGTGTCACGATGCCGACATGCGGCGTAAAATTAGATGAATGTAGCTCGTGGAGTGACTGGAACAGAAGGTACGAGGGCATAACAGGGTATAACATCGCGGACAGGTCATGTGTCGTTTCGAGCCGTGCCGTCCTTACACTAAAGCTCACACTGCACAACCCCAAATGATCAGAGCCTACCTGCTCCATCTCCAGATTCCCCACCAGCCCCCGCCCCAGCCGGGGAGCCGTTGGTAGTGTCGAGACTGCCCGCACGCTGAGCCACGCGCTCGTGGACCTGTGCGAGCTTCGACTCGCGCGTGGCCTGCCGTGAACCAAGCGGTCACCGGTCAGCGAGCCCTCCAATCAGACCAACGTGGCCAACAGAACGCCCACTCACATCGTTCGAGGCCTTGCGCTGCTGCACCTCCTCGACGGACGCACGGCGGGCGTGCGCGTCCTGCTCCAGGCGCGTCCGGTGCTGCTGCTTCAGCTATGCAAATACACGTGCGTCAGCCGCGAGACCGCACACAGAAACAAGGGGCAGGGGGCGCACCTCGACCGTCTGCGACGCGTTCTTCTGGTCCGCGAGCGCGGTGTCGTGCTGGTGCTGCGCCTTGTTCAGCGCCTTAGCGGTGTCGTGCTCCTTCTTGACTGCCTTCTCGAGCGCGTGCTGCGCCTTTTCTGCAGACTGCCCCCGCGCCGCGCCATCAGCACTGCTCGAGGCGCGCGAGGAGCGAGTGCACACGCACCTTGACGCTCTTTCCGTGCGTCTTGTCCGCCTTCTTCAGGTCCTTGATCGCGTGGTCGACGCTCTTCTGGTCTGCGCGCGCCTCGTTCTGGACGAGTTTCTCCATCTGGCGCACGTCGGGGTCCTCAGATGCGCCACTGGACTTCGACGAGCCGAAGAGTGCCATGGGGTCTGCAGCAGGGGCGGGTATGAGCGGGGGCGCAGGAGTGCGGGGGATATCGTGGTATGAGAAGAGGGTGTGGGCAATGGGGCTGGCGGGTTTTAAGTCGCCTGCCCTCATTGGCGTCATCTGGGAGTCAGCCCGAAGCCTAAGTCACAGCGCGTTCTGAGTCTTGACGTCACGCGCCTAATTCGACGACGCGTCGCGGTCACGCGACCACATTTGTCTGTTAAGCTCACCTGCCCGCAAAATCTTCCTCGGGAGCCGCTGGCGACACGCAAACAAAGGTCGACAGCACAAGGATCCATCCATATTCCGCGAACGCGACCAAGTATGAGCTACACATCAAGCGACCGGCGAATCTATATACACGTATACATTAGAGCATCGATATCTAGCAAGAAAGCGCAAACAGCAAGAAAAGGCGGACGGGATTAGTCTCTTCCAGATGATCTACATCTTCATCATTGAACCATAACTTCAAGACTTGCGGAACCTGCGACGCATCGCCAGCGCCAGATCCTTGAGACGTGGGGTCAGAATCGCAGACCGAGCCAGATGCTGCAGTAAGACACGCACTATGACAAGCTCAACTATACCAAGACGCCTCAGTTTGTTGTGACGCTGAACACTCTCCTGTCCCTCCGCCGCAGGGACGAGCGCCGCCAGGTTGTTGACAACCTCCTCGTCCTCCTCCTCAACGACCGACTGTGCGCAGCAGCGATGAGCGCAAGACTTACAATGTGAAGCATGAAACTCACCAGCGCGAAACTAGGCCTGTATGGCACCCCATGGTCATAGCGATAGTCGACCGTTTGCTGACCCAACGGTAAATCATTGTAGCGTCAAACGTCGATCACCATCACAGCGCCATGTGGATAAAGTGGGCGGAACGTACCATCAGGTCTACCTTCCTTCGCGCCCTGGTTCTGACATATGGATGGAACCTCTCGAGGTAGGAGGAGCGGTAGCTAGGCAGGCGAAAATGAGACAAGGACACTGCCTGCTGCGAGGACTCAGAGTGAGCTGCCGCGTCGGAGGCTTTTTGAGTGGGAGCGGCGTTGGGCATGTCGACGGAAGCAAATGAAGATGAAAATGCGGGGGAAGAACGATAGTGTAGAAGCCCTTGGGATGAGCCCCGCGGGCAATATTCAAGCCAGAGCGAGTGAAGATTGCTTTCAAAGATCAGACAAAAAATGCATGCCAGTGGTGGCGTAAACGCAAAAATGGGGATGCGCGAGGTCGAATATATCGTGGCTCCCAATTCAGACGCCCGACGCTGAGCCCCGCACGGCAGTCCATACCGCGAACCACCAATACTCTGTACGCTAGCACACTAGGACATGCCCGGTACAACACGCCTGGAGATCAACATGGGTGAATTCGGCATATACGACGCGCATCAATGTCACTGAGAGACTCTTCAGACATGAAGCAGATGAAGACCGGATACGTTCAGCCCCAATCATCCACATGTGAAGTAGGTCTAACAACCTTTTCTTCGCAAGTCAGAGCAGTATCACAGTCCTCATCCATGACTCTCTGCTGACTTTGCAGCTCAAGCTAGACACACCAGTCCTGCCCAAGCAGCACCTCTCCCTATGCATCCATCTGCGAGCATGGAACCAAAGCGCGCACGCCAGGCTGGTGATAGCGTCGCTCGAAAGAAAGTAGCTAGCCTGCAAGACAGACACATGGCGCATGAGATATTGCCAAATCTCGTCTTGCCCATCTAGGTACGCCCTCCTCCCGATCTCTGTGCTACTACTGTGATGCCCTCCTGCGCGGTCTCATCGCAGATTAGGCGCCCTGGTACATCTGTGACATGCTCGCGTCACATCACACCATTGTCTCTTGATCCAAGCCATGTCCAGGGCGCAGTGCGTGCCCCAGGTATAGTCCG